GTACCCGCCGTAACAAATGTATATTGACATTGAACACCGAGCTATGTGCTGGGATGATGAAAAACTCAAAAACTTATTTTGGATCGGGGGTGTCATAGTGTACGGTTGGGGGTAAATGGTAAAACTTTACCATAGTGTTGATATGCGCAATGATGTCCCAGTTGGATTTACTCCTGAAAATGGACTAGCGGTCAGCAAATCGTGTTATACTTAACTGTATGTAATTGTTGAATGGAAGAATTAAAATCTTGGGCAGTAATACGTATATGTATGCTAAGCGGTGAGACTTATACTGATAGTCGAGGAAAGAGACTAGTTAAGTTACTTACCCCGTCGATGTGAGGAATACATTTTATTAGACGTGAAATTTTTGGTTTCGAATGACCGGTTCTTTTGCGGTAGGACATTGGCAACGCATGAAATAGTGGTGGTGATCCGAAATTGTCTGCGATGAATGTGTACCGACAAAAGTTGTTGTTGTTTCGTGAACGTCAGTAATTGCGGTGTATGGGTGTGGTGTAACCATAGGAGAGAAGAAGTTTTGGGTTGTGTCGAAATGAGTGTGCGAACCTTGTTTCACGACGTGGTTGCCATGAGTCGTGGATTCAAACCGCTTTCGAAAATCATTTTTGGGAAAAACTTAGCTTGTACCTAAGTAATGATTTAGTATCATGTTGGAGAATTCCGAAATTTTAGCAACCATATCGGAATAAGTATGAGGTTGTTAAAAGTTTAGTGATATGAGACGCCCATGTATTTTTGGACATAATGCGAGTGGGTTAATAAGTCTATCTTTGCTAACGGAATTGAGATGACCAAACCGAACTCAAGTTATCGGTTTGAGTTTTGGTCGACTTGTGCTGGCCGATTGGTAACAGAATATCTAGTTTTGGTGTGAATCAATGGTTTTATGGTTTCAGTGGAAGCTAGAAATTGGTAATTTCTTTAGACGATAAGATTTGACGGTAGAAATATTTGATGTAATTAGACAATTACTGGATAGTTTGATTGTGTATAATGGATGAGACATTAAGAGTATTTTGTGTAGGTATTTTGTTGATCGAGTAAGATGAAATTGTGCTAGATTCTCGAGTGGAGATGAAACTAGCTAGTGTATGATGAATGTTAAAAGGTGCATTTAAATAGATATGGGATAAGGAACTCCCCATTCGCTGAAGTTCGAGAGTGTTATCGGAATTCCTAACGTATGTTAGGATTGATAGATGGATAAGTGCTAGAGATCTATGGTTCTTGATGGATATAGGGAAATTCCTTAGCCTGAATTATGGATTAGTTCCCGTGGCACTCGAGTTATTAAAGGCTGACACCTTAATATTTGGACATTGATGAATTAGTTCATGAATTGGTGGGTGATGTCACGGTTTAGTGGTGTATGCCCTTAGTGACTGATTAAGCGATCTTAATGGAGTAGATAATCGATTATGATTTTGGTGGAGTATCCTTGTGCCTAAGGTCTAGGTGATGATATTATTTCCGTGGTATGTTTAATTTTCGGGGACGAAAATTCTTATAAGAGGGGGAGGATTGTAACACCCCGAATTTTAGTCTTTAAAAATTAGAGTATCAGTCCTGGAAGTCTCGCCTGAGCGAGAGATTCTCGCCTGAGCGAGAGATTCTCGCCTGAGCGAGAGATTCTCGCCTGAGCGAGAGATTCTCGCCTGAGCGAGAGATTCTCGCCTGAGCGAGAGATTCTCGCCTGAGCGAGAGATTCTCGCCTGAGCGAGAGATTCTCGCCTGAGCGAGAGATTCTCGCCTGAGCGAGAGATTCTCGCCTGAGCGAGAGATTCTCGCCTGAGCGAGAGATTCTCGCCTGAGCGAGAGATTCTCGCCTGAGCGAGAAAGGATCACCTGGGAGGGTGAAATCCTAGGCTATACTGGAGGATTCTCGTCTGAGCGAGAGTTGTCTCGCCTCAGCGAGAAATGACAATTTTGGGCAGTGTTAATCGATTACACAGTCCTGGTAATCGATTACATGCTGATAAAAGCATCAGATATTTGTATTTTGCATGATGTAATCGATTACACAGTCCTGGTAACCGATTACACAGTCATGGTAATCGATTACATGCTGATAAAAGCATCAGATATGTGTATTTTACATGATGTAATCGATTACACTATACTCGTAATCGATTACAACATATTAAAAGCATCAGATATGTACAATTTTAACTAATGTAATCGATTACACCATATGGTAATCGATTACATCTATTCGCTGAGCAAGAATTGCTCACTGTGAGATTCTCGCTTGAGCGAGAATGGGCTCGCTTGAGCGAGAACCCGACGACTGCTCTTTAAAAATAGAAACCCCAAACACATTTTAGGATTAGAACTTGAAGAGAAGAGAGAGAAGGGAGCTTTTCAAGAGCAAAAAGCCTTAGGACTCATCTTAGAGCTTGAGAAGAGGTAAACCTCTTGTTTCTAACTCTTCTTCTTCCTCTCTAACTTGTTTTGGGTATGTTGGATCTATTTTCGAAACATGAGAAACCATGAAAACTCATCATTTGGAGTTATGGTTCGTTTTATGTTGTTTTTCTCTTGTAAACTCTTGATTTAGAGTTGATATTGTATGAATGGAAAAGGTTTTGTGGGTTACACATGAAAACCCCAAAAACCCCTAATAGGAGAATATGGGTATAAAGAGAAAAAGATAAAATGTTAGATGTGGATGATGAGTTTGTGCTTGAATGTTGATATATGAGATAAACTTGAATGTTTAGATGTTTGAAAACTTATATTGAAGTAGTTTTAGAGATCTGGAATATATATGAACCCCTTATATGTTTGATGACGAAATACGAGTTATTTACGTATTATATTGAATAAATGACTGACATTGTTGTTATTGGTGGAAATGAGGAAAGATCCCAAGGTTGGAGGAAATTGCGAAGGAGACTTTTAAAGTTACTCGGAACCGATTCCCAACACTCACCAAGGTAAGGGATAAGTGGCTCTAATTCATACTCACTAATATGAATGAGATATGTGAAAGAGGTAAAAGGTTTGTAAGGGAGACGTGTTTCCATAGTTAATGATTTGATGGAAAAGGTAAATGTATTGGCATTATTGTTATGATAATAGAGTAAACTGGTTATCATTTGATATGTGGTATTGGATAGCCTTCGTGGCGTTGACTTGCCCTATGTGGTATTGTATAGCCTTCTTGGCATTGACTTGCCCTATGTGGTATTGTATAGCCTTCGTGGCATTGACTTGCCCTATGTGGTATTGGATAGCCTTCGTGGCGTTGACTTGCCCTATGTGGTATTGTGTATGACTTGCCCTATGTGGTATTGTGTATGACTTGCCCTATGTGGTATTGTGTATGACTTGCCCTATGTGGTATTGTGTATGACTTGCCCTATGTGGTATTGTGTATGACTTGCCCTATGTGGTAATGGAAAGGTAAACGTGCAATTGGAATATGAATGATGAGAAATGAGAAGGTTGCAATGAAAGTCATATGCATGCTATAGAATATATAGTATGAGATATATATTCTATAAGGTGAATATGAGTGATAGAAAGGAAGATTGTTAAGTATAAAAGTAATATACATGCTATAGGTTATATAGTATGAGATATATATACTATAGTGTGGATATGAAAAATGAGAAGAACGATGTTTCGAATGAACATAATATGCATGCTATAGAATATATATATGAGATATGTATTCTATAGGATGAATATGGATAACGTGGAAATGAACGAAAGAAAAGATGAATGTTTGCATTTACGTAATTGCGTTTATATTTTATATTAAAGTTTAATCGTATTTGAAATATGGATTATCATGTGATGTTAGTTTTTAAACTAATGACTTACTCCCTTTTGTTTTGTGTGTTGTTTATGATATTCCCATTGTAGGTAAATGAAGGATTTTGAGGATGAAGCTCAATTAGGAAGCTTTTGTGTTTAATTACTGGCTTGTCTTTATTGCTAATTGACGTTGTAGTTGATTTAATAGTACTATGGGATGATTGTAAATCCGTTTAGATTAATACGGATATGTGTAGTTATGGACTTTATAACTTTGGGAGACCCATCACTGGTTGTATGTGGTAAATGCTATTTGAATGAATTATGTTTTTCCGCAACATAAATTTGTATGATAAGATAATAGGGTAAAGAGTATTTTCAAAGAGTGATACTTGAGAGTTTTCAATGAAGGTGACCACTGTATGTAAGAAAGGATTAAAATAAATGAAAAAATTTCAAGGGTAAAAAATCGGGTCGTTACAATATACAATATTTTGTTTAACTTAATTACATTCATCACACGTTTTTTCTTTAAAATATTACACTTTTATAACATGCACGGGTAGTCTATGTAATGTATGTATAAATCTAGGGGTGAATTGTGTAGGAGGGATGGGTGGTTTGTGTAGGAGGGAGGGATGGTTTGTGTAATGACAAAGAAAGGAGAGATGATTTGTATAATTTCATTAAAACTCAGGGGTGTGAGTGTAATTTATTGCTATATTTAAAAGGTAATGAATGAATTAACCAAAAAAAACATAATAAAAAACTAAACAAAAGGAATTAAAACAAAAATCATGGGCCTTTAGCCCACTACGAATGAAATCAGATTGGGGAGGGGGTTCCTTTGGTGTTTTCATTTGTTGAGGGTTTGATAATGTTGAGAGAAGAGAGAATAGGTGAGAAGAAGAGAGAAAGGAGAAGACGAAGAAAAAAAACAACGCCGGAGACGAAGGCGGAGGGCGGCAACGCTGGAGGACGCCGAAAGACATGGCGGTTTCGACGGCGGTTAACGAAGGTACTCCCTTGACCCTATTTTGTTTCAACCTTCTTCATCTCCCTCCATATTCGATTTTACCTTTTCTCCGGTCTCTTTCTCCGATTGCAGCGACGACGGTGGAGCGAAGTGACAAGCACAGCGGCGGGTTCACGGTTGGACGTCTCCTTCCTCTTTCTTCTCCGACGAGCGGCGGCGACAATGGCGGCAAAACTAAACAACTCACTGTTTTGATGCTTGAAACCATTGGGATTGAAATGGACTCGGTAACTAACTCTAATCCCTTCTATGTTGACCTCGTATTTAGCTTTTATTACATGAATTGTTAGTGACATGCCTCCATTTCCAGTGATTATCAATCATAAACTATGTATGCGGCAACCTTGTTTTCAGTAATCAATCGAAATGTTTCTTTTCTTTTTAATTATTTCTGGATGGTTTTATACGTGCAAAATGTATTGAATTACATCGGTAATTAACATCAAAACAGAATAAAACGAATGTCAACTTCTTACCATCTAGTAATAGGATATCCATAATTTGAACCCAGTTATCATTATGATGAATAAGAATGATTATATGCTTATGCTTACCAGAGTATGATGAGTATCATACTTGATTTTTACCTTTTAGATGCCGGTTCTAGCTCCTGTCCGATCTTGATTCTGGTTTACACCCTTTCTTGATTTTGCGTTGATCCTAATTGACGATACTTACTATGGGTTAGTGTTGCGAGAATGGTATTCTGATTTGGGTGATTTGCTATAAGGGTAGATCGTAACTTTAGAGGATATGTGTATAGAAAATTGGATGCCTTCTGATTGCCAACCAAAAACTATCCCTGGGTATATGATTCTGATGCTCTTTTACAGAGTCTTATGACTCTTCTCCTGACTCCGTCAGTTACTGCTGATTACTCTCCTTTATTTAAGGCTATCCATGATTGAAATTCATGCTGAATGTATAACTGAAAAGGGGGCTGCTGATTTCTATACCATTAATTCCTGACTGTTACCCATTTATTTGTACATTAATGCCTCATTGTTCTGCCTTTGTTTGCTTTTGTAACTGCAAATGCTGATCATTGTTGATTCTAGAGCCGATTAGTATCCCTGAAACTTGTGCAACCCACGGCTAATTTACCTCCTTTCCTTTTGCCTTTATTCAATTGTGTTGATTGATTTTTTAGTGTGCTGTAAATCATGCCTAGTTGCAAGAAAACTCCTGCAATGCTTAGCTAACTCATCACACTGTTTATTCCTCTTGGTTGCCATTTTATGATTGCTCATTATTGCTTGGATGTTTTCTTTCTGATTTAATTGTTGTTTTGCAATAGTCATCGTCAAATTAATTTAGTATTTGCTGAATTTGCTACAGGTACTTGCGTTGTCATTCTTGGCCTCGTCTTGATATGGTGTCTGGTTTCCTAACAGCTGGAACCTTCGTGATTGAATCTGATACTGAACTTGCACCCAAAACTGCATGTGTCTTATGCCATTAACCATGTGCCTCTTCACACTCTGATTCAATAACCTCTCGCATGCTGCACTTTTCACTATAATTACCCCATCTAAAGTGCTCATGGTCAGCAACCCGTCTTCATCTTTTGGAGCTTCACTTCCCTCACATGTTATAGTTCCCAGGGCTTCAAATTTCATCTCCAGGACTAATTTTCATGCCTTAGTTTTCCTTTCTTATGCTCATTTGTACTTTTATTAACCGTTGGCAGTGATAAGCATTTTGAACTTTGTGTTTTACTTGTTTTGTGATTCTTGCTTTGTTTTAAAATAGTTCCAATTATTTTGGTCAAGCTTGAATGTTTTCCGAATATGAACATAATTTATATAATGGGATACATAGTTGTGTTTACTTCCAAGCTCTTGAAGCACTCAATTGATATGGTATTTGGTTTGAAGACTCATCTATTAGTATTTCTTTCTTTTCCATTCCTATCACCTTTTTGAGTAACAGTTATAATGAGTTGTGAATTCTTCATGAATACTGTAGCAATGATACCCAATGTCACTAAATACAGTGCTTTGGAACATATATGAATGTTAATACTATGATTTAAGAATTGCATATAGACCAACGACAAGGATAATAATATATGTTTCTAACAATGAAATTATAAAATTTGGTGGGGCAAAATTGGGTGTTCACAGCTGCCCCTTTTTACTTGTTGCTTACGTGAAAGCAAGTAAACTAAAGTTCATATGCTATCACAGTAAGCAACTAGTAAAGAAATGAACATTAATTTTGTCAAGAAATAGACAATAAACAAGTGAGGCTCGAGGCAATAGACAATAAATTTTTGAGCTCACTGGCTCGAGACAGAAAATAAATTGCGAGCTCTCAGTGGCTCGAGACAGAAAATAAATTGCGAGTTCTCAGTGGCTCGAGACAGAAAGTAAATTGCGAGCTCTCTGTGGCTCGAGACAGAAAATAAATTGCGAGCTCTCAGTGGTTCGAGACAGAAAAATAAATTTGCGAGCTCTCAGTAGCTCGAGACAGAAAAATAAATTTGCGAGCTCTCAGTGGCTCGAGACAGAAAATAAATTGCGAGCTCTCAGTGGCTCGAGACAGAAAAATAAATTGCGAGCTCTCAGTGGCTCGAGACAGAAAAAATGAGTGTTCACAGTGGTAATAATTACAGATTCAGAGCAAACAATATACAAAACAATATACAGTAAAAAGGGAAATAAACTACCAATACATAAATTATAATCTACTCACTCTTCTCAAACGGTAACTTTTAAAGAGATTAATGGAGTAATAATTACATATTAAGAAAGAAACAATTGAATACAATTAAAAGAGAAAGAAATAATAATGGACATAATAGCATATATACCAATTTGATGGAGTAATAAAAATAGAAAAGGAAAGAGCAAAAAATATATAAAACAATATACAGTAAAAAAGGAAATAATATTAATGGATATAATGACATATACAAATTTGGATTGTATTCCAGTTAGCATATGAAAATGAAAAGGTGGCAACATGTTAAATGCAACATATAGCATTTATGTGCCAAATATATAATATGCCTTTAGAAATTTCAGTTTTTATAATTTAAATTAGTCTTTTGATATTATAATTATATCCCCTAAACATCCAAGTGTCAACAATATGGAATGTCCACTTTCGTAAAACCCACAACCTCTTCTATTCCTATAGTATAGTAGATGGTTATTGTAAAACTTTAACTTTTATTTCTTCCATATATTATATGATCACAACTCCCATATCATACCTTGTTCTCTTTCATTTGGCTTCTCTTGTGAGAAACAAAAAAAAAAAATTACAATGGGCAAATAGTTGTTTAGCTCTTATATTCCTTCTTATTATCTCATTCTTTATGGCTGAAATATGTGGAAGCAAACAAGGTCAAGTTTTTGACAAGTTTCAAAAGTCAAAATACAAAGTAGATTCACAAATTGATAGGAGTGACTTTAATGCATAAGAGGTTGTGGATGATAATCACATTGTTCATTATCAGAAGGGTCTTAAAGAGAAAGATAGGATTGATAAGTTGCCAGGGCAACCACATGTGAATTTCTCTCAATATGGAGGGTATGTCACAATTGATAAATTGGCAGGGTGTGCCTTTTATTATTACTTGGTTGAATCTCAGCATTCTAACGAAAAAATGCATCTTCTTTTTTGGCTCAATGGAGGTATATATAACATTTTATTATTATTTCTTATCCATATTTTTAGTGTAAGGACCAAAATTCTACCATTGAAATTTTTTCCTTATTTTATTCATCCTTCATACATTTTCCGACGACTTTTAAATAAAAATACTAACAACTCATGTTAAGTCTCATTTCCCTCCTCATACCCCTTTCATAATCTCAAAATGACATACATATTCGCATAGCATAAAATCATAATTCATTCGTGCACCCCGGTAACTACCGCATACAATTAGCTATGGGTTTCCAAAATACCCATAGCTACGAATATCCAGAGTTACAATTATTCATGTTCAAAATACAGTTAGTCATATTACAAAAGAATGAATATAAGGACTTAAAAAAGAATGAAAGCCTCTAAGCTCCTAATCAATACGTCCTTACATCTTCCACCTACCTGCAATGAGATTAACATTCACCATACATAGAAACACAAAGGAAAAAGTCGTTAACGTAAAATAATGTCAATACACGTTAATCCATATTTTAATAAAGTTAAGTAAAACTCAGATTTAAATATACTTAAAACCATTTCCTTTGTTTATACTTTTGAAAACATGCTCCATAACTTGAGCTAAAGTTTGCTACATTGCTTGAGCCAAAGTTTGCTACATTGCTTGAGCCAAAGCTTGTTACATTGCTTGAGCCAAAGCTTGTTACATTGCTTGAGCCAAAGCTTGCTACATTGCTTGAGCCAAAGCTTGCTACATTACTTGAGCCAAAGTCGCTAACCAATCATGGTCGGCTAAAAACGAGTTTTATTTCCATTGGCACTTCACCAATACATAAATAGTGAATCCACCCCATCATCATTACAAACATACCCATATATGTTCATAACAATTAAGTGATTCATAATTCATTTCATTATTCCAAGTTTTATTTTCATTGGCACTCCACCAATACATAAACAATAAATCCACATCATCATCATTATAAACATACCCATATATGCTTATAACAATTAAGTGATTTACAATTCATTTCGTTATTCATAACCAGAAAATCCATGCATTTTCCATCACAGTGCATAAGTTAAAGGCTTATCCTTACCTCAGTGAGTGTTGGGTTTGGTTCCTGGTAACTTTGCAAGTTCCACCGACACCGCCGCCAACTTTAGGATCTTTCCATATTCCCACCATATAACACAATGTTAGTCATTTGTTTCCAATATCACATAAACAATTTATATTGCATTATTTAACCATACAAGATATTCATCACATTTTCGATGTTTTTAAACTACTTTCATCATAAGTATACAATCATCTAAAACATGCATATTCATCTCATATTTCAACATTAGAAAGTAAAGTCATCTTCTACCTCTAGCATTTTACTCATTTTCCCCTTTTTCCACATTTTCACATTAGGGTTTTGGGGTTTTTATGAATCAACCTCCAAACCCTTTCCATTCTTGAAATACTAACTCTAAACCAAAAGTTTACAAGATAAAAACAACATAAAACGAACCATAACTCGAAAGGATAAGTTTCCATGGTTTCTCTCATTTTGAGAAGAGATCCAACATACCCAAAATAAGTTTCAAAGGGAAGAAGAGAGTTAGAATCAAGAGCTTTACCTCTTCTCAAGTTTCTAAATGACTCACAAGCCTTCTTGCTCTTGAAAAAGCCATCTTCTCTCACTTCTCTCTAGGTTAACCCTCATAAATGTGTTTGGGGTTCCCTATTTAATGTAACAGTGTCGGGTCCTTGCTTGAGCGAGTTCATTCTCGCTCAAGCGAGAAAATCCCGCCCATTTTAAAAATTCAGATCTGACCCTCTCGCCTAGGCGAGGCATCTCTCGCTCAAGCGAGACACCCTCGCTCAAGCGAGAATCCTCTAGTATAGCCCAGGATTTCACCCTCCCAGGTGAGCCTTTCTCGCTCAAGCGAGCCAACCCTCGCTCATGCGAGAATCCCAGGACATATAATTTTAAAGACTTAAATTTAGGGTGTTACATTTAGTGAGGTGAAAATGATTAAATGAATCTTGTCATTGAAGATGAAGTGTGTTGGATACTCAAATATCATGAAATTTATTTTTCATTTTAATTTTGATATTAACACTTTTACATTCACATGCATCAACATCTAAAAAAACTTATTATTTCATCTCACCATTCATTCTGAAACATTTATTTATTTATATATTAATTTAGTCAAATGGTTGAATAACTTGAAAATCATTTTTGAATTGATAATTTATACAACAGAATTATTTCGGACCAACCCGTATACTCACCTATCCATCAGAATTATTTATAGCTGTACATACATGTCTTTATTTATGGATAATAGTTGTTTAACAAACATGTGATTATCCTTCATTATTTAGTGGTACCCCTTTTCTAACTCATGAAGGTCATTACAAGATACATTATTTAAAATTCTAAAACTCTAACATAAATTTAATCTATCTTATATCAATATAATCAATCCATTGAAAACATGATAAGAGGAAATAATCTACATTTCAAATAGATAAAATATTGCATAGTAGATACATCATCAAACAGTCACATTTCTAAATAAAACTAATATAAATGAATGATAAATGATTTAATAATAATGTAAATTTTTCTAAACTTAAATTATATAAATATTCAACCATTTCATCTAATCAAAAGATGGATTTTATTTAACAGTTCTTTATATTACATTATGATCATTTTAGGGTTAATAAAAGAAGAGAGGTGAGAGAAGAGAGCTTTTCCAAGGGCAAGAAGCTTTGATACTCATCCAAGAGCTTGAGAAGAGGTAAAACTTTTGATTCTAACTCTCTTCTTCTCTTTGGAACTCTTTTTGGGAATGTTGAATCTCTTCTCGAAAATGAGAGAAACCATGGAAACTCACCCTTTTGAGTTATGGTTCATTTTATGTTATTTTATCTTGTAAACTCTTGGTATAGAGTTAGTATTTCAAGAAAGGAGAGGGTTTGTGGGTTGTGTCATGAAAACCCCAAAACCCTAAAGAGAAAATGTGGTTAAAATGGAAAATGGTTAAAATGCTAGAGGTAGAAGATGAGTTTACTTTCTAATATTGAAAATATGATGAATATCTTGTATGGTTAAACGATGCAATATAAGTTGTTTATGTGATATTTGGTATAAATGACTAACCTTGTGTTATATGGTGGGATGAGGAAAGATCCTAAAGTTGGAGGCGGTG